CAATCTGACCATCTTGTCGTTGGCTCGGCCTATTACCCTTGCTTTTTCAAAGACGAATGTGTGTTTCTTCTGTTTTACGTGGTCATAGACCAAAGGCAGCTTACCTCGTGGTTGATTGCGATCTGATGCTCATACAACCTTGTGCCAAGGCGTCTGCCCGTTTCACCGACATACCTTGCGGTGCAGTCTTGGTACGGTATGCTGTAGACCACAGCTGATTGTTCCGTCAAAGGTAGCGGGTCTCTCGGCCTCATGAGCTGCTGTCTGATGGTTGACTCCGGCCTATGAGCCACACCGATCTCGAATGGTTTCAGGATTCTTACAGCCGTCTCTGATACATTCTTCACATAAGAGACTGCGAGCCAGACCTTAGGGTCCTCTCCTTTCGACCGCTCATGGTGGGGCTTCTTAAGACACTTGTGTTCAAGGACTTCGGATAACCGTTGGCGTGAAATAGGGCATGCAAGTGCTTCACCTCCTCCTTTTTCCCACTTTCGTCACTGCAGTGTGTCTGGACGCTTTGGAAGAGGGTTCTAACACAACTGCGTTTGTGACCAACGGGGTGGTTGCTTCTGAAGTGGAGAATGCGCATGGTATTGGTTGCCTTGCGGAAGACCGTTGTCCTTATCTTGCCATCTTCCAGCTTCGTTACTTGTACGTTAAGGAAGGGTAATTGATCGTTGACCTCCTCTTTAATGGTGAACTGGATGTCAGGAAAGATGGAGTTCAGCAGTGTCTTGAAAGCCTGCACTTTGCTCCTTTTGATGATAACGAACGTGTCGTCAACGTATCTGGTCCAGAACTTCGGCGGAGACGAGCTATAGGGCGCGTGCTTCACACAACGCTATTGGTGGTCACCCTCAATATCACATTCTTGAATCTATCCAACAAACTACAAAACATGTGCGCATCCCCGACAGACACGCCTGTTGGTTTGACAGTGTGACATTGTAGATTCTGAAAGTTTGAAATGTATCCTGAATTTCAGGCCTTAAAAAGGTAGACCGAGGCTTAACGGAGGTAAGAGTTTTAAGAGGCAGGAAGGGGAGTTAAAAAACTCAAGTTAGTTAATTTAAATTAATTCTACCATGGCCGTCAGGTTTTTAAACATGGAACTCGGCAAATTTCGGCGCTGTGCATGCCCAACTTGCGTACCCCGCACATTGTGCCCACGCATTTCTTATAATCCTGGAAAGCAACGCTGTGTGGGGCCAGATCAACTTGATCATTTGCTGGCACAGAAGGAGTTTTAGTGGCAAAACTGGTCTTATAAGAGCTAGAAAACACTGCCTTCACCGGACATAAGCCTATCTTTTGGCGTCGTTACGTTAACGACACGTTTGGTATCATCAAGAAGAACATGCTGCAACACCTGCATAACTTGCTCAATGGAATCTTTCCTGATGTATAATTCACGAGGGAAGAAGGGCAAGAGAACCAGTTGCCTTTCCTTGATGTCCTCCTCAAGAGAACGTCCAAACACCTGTGCATCTACTTCTTTACTTGCTCCTGTAGAGCAGGTTATATTGGTCACACGAGTCGGCGCCTATCCAAAAGAATGAAGGAACACCTCCCGCAATGACTAAGGAAAGGTGAAGTCCTACCATCAGGACCATCAACAGCTCTATTCTAGTGCACATGGTGGATTTCGGACATCAGGTGGACCCCAACGAAGCCTTTAGGGTGATCTAAGGGATCCCACCAAATTACCCTAAGTCATTGGGTCAGCGATTGCTAGCAACAGCAGAAGCAACTGCTATCCGGTTGGGGAAGCCGATTCTGTGTGCTAAAAGAACCTGCTGCAGGCCCCAAGCTTAGCGTGACCAACGGCCACCTAGGTACCGGCATTTTTCCAAGCCTCCTCACTCCCTCCCCCCTCTCACTAATTGCCGCTTAATTAGCCGCTTGTTACTACCACAACCCCCTCCCCTATCCCCTGAACTAATTTGTTTTTTACTTTGACCATAATTTTATCTTTTACACTTTACCCCCCTCCCATATAAATGTAATGGCCTGATGAGAATTTATTGAAAAATAGCATAGGATATTTTTCCAGGCATCTGGAATCACCCGATAATGGATAAGTCTCTGATTTTACGCCTTCATAAGTTCCTCAGCCAAATGTTGCAATAATACTCAGCTATCCTCTTCTTCCATTCCGAAGGTTTATGCTGCGGTATGCAACATTTGTCCTTTTCCAACATGCATTTGACGCAGTGCATCCTTCCAAGATATGCACATTTGTGGCAATGTTCCGGCCGATATTTGTGGCACCGTCCGTCGCCATGACCGAAGGCTACTGGCGTCGTCTGGCCAGGTTCCTCAGTGGTGCTCCAAGCCACATTCGCCAGATCGACCATCGCCAGAAGAAGAAAAATCCGTCTACGGGAAGTATGCACAATGGGTATGTTGATGCCATATGGTGATAACGCCAGTTTACTAAAAATGCAGGACTTACTGTGTCATTAGTTGGCAAAGTAAACCACGAGCGGTTGTTTGCAGCTGACCATTTTTATGCATGCTGTTAGAGTTACGCTCTCTTGTCATCTTCAAGCTGATTGGCTACTGAGACCTGTGCTTTAATCGCACTGCCGTAATTGTAGTCCCCCTTTCGCCGCATACCATCGCCTGCCAATCAAAAGCAGCCTGTAAGCCAACAGGAGGAATAACGCTTGACGTGTGATGCAACGCAGCTGGTAATAGAATTATTGAGATTTTCTGATGCCCATCAAAACTACCTTTCTTTTATTCGAACGCAATTAAACCCACTGTGCGTTTTATATGCAATGACACGAATTAACAATGTGACGTGTTACACCTTGTCTGCAGTACCTAATCTACTCTTCCCAAAAGTAAACATGCCGGTTTTATAAAATATATCGATATTCACCACATGCGTGCTATTTGAATTCAAAATAGATAGCTTTAACTCTTGATATCAGCAGGATTAGCAGAAAGAGACCGGGCTCAAACACACTCTTTTCTTTTAGGATAACTAAACTACAGCGTTGCCCAGTAGTGGTTTGCAATCGAATAATTCTCCAAGAGTTCCATTTATGAGTATGGAAAATGGAGGGCAAATCTATTTGAGTATTTGTCTCAACTTTCACACTCTTAGTTAATCAGCGATCAGTGAAGCAAGTCTGAAGAAGACTTACTATGTCGGCAGCTGATCAATGCATCGATTGACCGAAGTTTTATAGGGATTGAGTGGCGCATAGACCAGATTTCACAATCAGACAACAAATCATGAAGCCCAA